AAATTGCTAGATATATTACACATTTATGCGAGTGCAATATTAATTGCGTACCGTTCAATAAGTTCAGTGACTTTTAAACACAACATTGCCAATTACTTTGTCTGTTTCTCCATTACAGAACAACAGCAGAGCAACACACAGATGCAGTGTTTTCTGAATGAATCAGTGTTTTGAATAAAAAGGTTGAATGAATAATTCAATGACTCACTCAGCCGTTTCGTTCCTGAATGAATCAGGGTTTTGATGAGTTGGTTGAGTGAGTGATTCAATGACTCAGTCATTGAAACATTCATTCAGCTGATTTCTTCAGAAACACTGATTTATTCGGGAATGAAACAACTGACTGTCACTTCTTTTATTTCTAAATAAATCTGTGATTTTGGATGAATCAGATGAACAAATGATTCAGTGACTCACATGTTTTTATAATTTGAATAAATCTGTGTTTCTAAACAAATCAGTTGAATTAATGATTCAGTGATTCAGTCACTTGCTTAATTCCCAAATGAATCAGAGTTTTGGAGAGAAACAGCTAAATGAATGATACAGTGACTCAGTCACCTGTTTTGTTTCTGAATGAATAAGTGTTTTTCAACAAATCGTTTAAATGAATGATTCAACAACTCCGTCACTTGTTTCATTCTCAAATGAATCAGTGTTTTGGGCAGAAACAGAATGAATGAATGATTCAGTGATTCAGTCACTCGTTTCATTCCCACATGACTCAGCGTTTTAGAATAAAACGGTTGAATGAATGATTCAGTAACTCAGTCACCCGTTTCATTCCCAAACGAATCAGCCTTTTGAACGAATTAGTTCAAGTCACCTACTAGAGTAATGATGTAACCTGCAGAAAGAGTCAATGAAAAGTCCCCACCACGAACAGAGACTGTCTGGAACAAACACAAACAAGTGGAGTGATACGAACATCCCGCTGCTATTTGACAGGGATATCAGCACTCTTGGAACGACTCAGCCAATCAGATTCAAGGAACAGAACTAACCTAATCAGCCACAACCGTTGTTCAGTGTTGTCAAAATAGTTAAATTACCCCCAATTACTCAGTCTGGCTTATACATCAGCCAAGTCCACTCATTCTAATCTTATTATTACATTGGAAAACAGTAATACATACATAATGCCTGAATCACAGCCCATCTGTCCCTCAGCAGCATAAACCATTAGTTACTGCCAGTGGAGCAGAAGCGCTTAGCACTGCAGGTTAAACAGCCGTGATGGTTTTGGTGTGAGTCACGTCAACTCACATTTATTTCTATAGCACTTTATACAATGCAGGATGTTTCAAAGCAGTTTCACAGTAATAAACAGACAGATTCTTCATTTTGAAACAACTTCGACAATGGAACAGACTTTCTTATTCACAGCTTATGTTATCGATCGTACACCTGCATTACACATTACATGTCATGACACCTTCCTTCTGCATGCACAGAAAACATCAATACATATTTCTGAATAATGCAAGGCTCTGGTGATCTGGGTGGTTGCCAGGGCACAGAAATGTGGGTTGCTAAGGTGCTCAGAGTGGATGATTAGATAACTCACCTCTCTTTAACAAACGGCATGACTTCAGCTGTCTTTCACATTAACGGTGCATGACAAGTTGCATGCTAAATACTTGAGACTAGGGGTTGCACCGACTAGTCGACTTCAATGCTCTGCCATGACGCTTTAAGCTTGACGTCGACTAGTCGCTGGTCCTATAGAGGGCGCAACAGGATAAGAAATCTTTGAAGGACTTCCACATTTACGCTCCGTTTCCATACAGTTAAAATGACAAATAAATGCATACTCTGCAAGCGCTCCACAAGACATGTGAGATTATATTACTGGATGCTCGAAATTGAACGTGAGAATGCATGTTTTAAACAGCTTATTGTACAGGTAAGTTAATCGCCGTTCTAATCTAATGCGCTGCTGCACTGTAACACACACACACAGGCTACAGACAGTAGCGCGTACAGTTCATTCAGCGCAGAAATGTATTGTCAACACTGTTCTGTGATTTCTCAATAAAATAGCTTAGAAACTGAAAAGTTCAAGCATATATTTCTTAATAACTTTACTGTGCTGCTTTATCTGTATCTGATTTAAAATGAGCAGAAATCTGTGAGAAATATAACGACTTATAGCGAATATAAAGACAAAAGAACTGATAAAAAAGCTGTTATAGGAGCAACAGCCATGTGGGCAGTGCTGTGTCATATGCCATAGCTGTGCACAAGGTGTTTGTCACAGCTCCAGACTTATTTGTTCATTAATGACGTCATCAGCGACTAGTTGATTTCGACTCGACTTTCATCACATAAAAGTCGACTTTAAAAAAATCAGAAGTCGTTCAACCCCTACTTGAGACTTGTTCAAATCCCTCACTAATGACCTGCAGCAGGCTTTATTAAACAGACTTCAAACGCAGTCTGCAAATCTGACACATTCGCACCAGGACTTCATAAAGAGCACAGAACATGGCTGGTGCAATATGACTCACCGGGTCAAATCTGCGAGCGAGTCTATGTGTGGCTCAAGGCAGAGAGATGCAAATATAGAAGATCTCTGCTATAATGTCAAACTTTGACATGCTGATGTACACATTCTGGTACAGGACGTTCTTTGCACACAAAGCAGGCACAGACTTCCTCTGCTTCTCGTCATTAGACAGTCATTTAAAAGCGTGAAACGGTAATGGCTCATTTATTCCCGTGCGCCAGCTATTTTGTCATTCCGCTCGCTCCACGGTTATCACAGCCGCAGCCAGGAAAACGCAGACAAGAGGGAAGAAAAGGAAGGGAAAGTCAAGGGAGGTGAAACATGGGCCTTTAATCTCTCTGTTCTCTCTCAGTGCTTCCACACTAGAATATTCATGTCACTGCCGCTCTGCAGGAGTCAGAGGGGTTTGGGAAAGTAGCAGTGCATTTTCCCAACAAAACACACACACACACGATGGTGAAGGATTTTGATGGAAGACTGGCAGAAAGCCAAGCATAAGCTTTTGCTGATAGAGAAGAGTCACATGACATTTGACCTTTGCAACAAGCTGTTTATCACAGCTCCAGACTTATTTGTTCATTAATGACGTCATCAGCGACTAGTCAACTTCGACTCGACTTTCATCACATAAAAGTCGACTTTAAAAAAATCAGAAGTCGTTCAACCCCTACTTGAGACTTGTTCAAATCCCTCACTAATGACCTGCAGCAGGCTTTATTAAACAGACTTCAAACGCAGTCTGCAAATCTGACACATTCGCACCAGGACTTCATAAAGAGCACAGAACATGGCTGGTGCAATATGACTCACCGGGTCAAATCTGCGAGCGAGTCTATGTGTGGCTCAAGGCAGAGAGATGCAAATATAGAAGATCTCTGCTATAATGTCAAACTTTGACATGCTGATGTACACATTCTGGTACAGGACGTTCTTTGCACACAAAGCAGGCACAGACTTCCTCTGCTTCTCGTCATTAGACAGTCATTTAAAAGCGTGAAACGGTAATGGCTCATTTATTCCCGTGCGCCAGCTATTTTGTCATTCCGCTCGCTCCACGGTTATCACAGCCGCAGCCAGGAAAACGCAGACAAGAGGGAAGAAAAGGAAGGGAAAGTCAAGGGAGGTGAAACATGGGCCTTTAATCTCTCTGTTCTCTCTCAGTGCTTCCACACTAGAATATTCATGTCACTGCCGCTCTGCAGGAGTCAGAGGGGTTTGGGAAAGTAGCAGTGCATTTTCCCAACAAAACACACACACACACGATGGTGAAGGATTTTGATGGAAGACTGGCAGAAAGCCAAGCATAAGCTTTTGCTGATAGAGAAGAGTCACATGACATTTGACCTTTGCAACTAATATGTGACCCTGGAGCACAAAAGCAGTCTTAAGTCGCTGGGGTATATTTGTAGCAATAGCCAACAATACATTGTACGAGTCAAAATTGTAGATTTTTCTTTCATGCCAAAAATCATTAGGATATTAAGTAAAGATCATGTTCCATGAAGATATTTTGTAAATTTCTTACCGAAAATATATCAAAACTTAATTTTTGATTAGTAATATGCATGGCTAAGAACTTCATTTGGACAACTTTAAAGATGATTTTCTCAATATTTAGATTTTAAATACTGTACATTTAGTCCATTTCTATGGTTCAGTCTTTCTCAAATGTTCACTAGCTCTCTCACAATTAAGCTTTTCAATTTCCCAACACATTGCATAAGACATTTAAATTAAAAAGCCTCGCAGGGGAAATACCAGAAGTCATTTACTGTGGCAGTACCATGGTATAATGTCTGTATACTGTGGTACTTTTTAAGCATACCATGCAACTATATTCATTAACATGCCATGGCACTTCAGAATACAACTGGAAAAATGTTGTTTTTAACAACACACACGTCAAAAAATGTACAGTATCACCACTATATCCAAAAACATGGTGCTAGTTTGTTAATGATTGCATGTTTATTATTAAAACTGATTGAAGAATGAACATGTTGGACAATACTGTAAATATCTAGTGAAGCAAGCAGTGAACAGGAGGTCATGTGGAGCGGCTTTAATAATTAAAAACTGTGACTCTCACACCTTGTGTTCAAACCACAGGGGTGTGAAAGACAATCAAGCCAGCAAATCCCTTATCGCACATTAACGTTCATTTCCCAGAATGCGCAGGACGGATGTGTGGTTGTTGTTTTCCGGCAGGCATGTGCAAACAGAGATCAGTCTGTCTCTCAAACAGAAAACGAATGTGCAGAACTGAAGCATTGCATGAGTTTGTGTTTGCATTCAGCAGCAGAGAGCTCAGGGCCAGGGAATGTAAATTGCACTTCTGTCCAGCGTCCACTAGAGGAGATCAGCATCTAACCACTCTTATTCCCCAGACCGGTCTGCTCATTTTTCATCAGGACTCTGACAGCATCCATTTAACGCTGTTGAGTTCTGGGTGACCTGCGGATACCTGCAGACTCATACTATCCGCACTGAGAACAACAGCAGCAGCACACACACACACACACACAGACAGTGCTGCCTGCAGTCTGCAGCCACACACACACTTAAAAGGGGAATACGTTTACATGGTGAACAGGGCAAAAGGAAATGTATCCATAGGTCCAATGCATATAAAATAAACACACACACACACATTATTATATATATATATATATATATATATGATAAGATTTGTATTATTTTTTAGCCGAATAACAATTTATTAATCATTATATAATAATAATTATTATTATTAATCCAATTCGCTGTATTAAGTGAATAATAATAAGAAAAACAACAACAATAATCATTTTATTATTATCAATTTTATTATTATTGCTCGTGTTCATGCTTCAATTTGTATTAATAAATAATTCTTTTAAAAGCAGCATAAGGGCATTATTCTGCAGAGCTGATTAAGGTCGTCTGGTAGCGGTAGCCTCAGGTTATTATAACATAAATCCTTCAGTCTTGAGCAGGACAGATCATTTTTATCGAGCATTATGCATCAATTCCACGTCAAAATATATCAGTTGCTGCAATATTATAATAATGTTGACAATCAAGCGGAATGCACTCACCATGAAATCCGTCCAGAGCCGCAGTTCTTCTGTTTCGAGGCAGAAATACCGCAGTGAGAGTCTCTCTCTTCCCCGCATCTGTGTCTCGGTGCTGCTGAGAATTAACTCACCCGGCGCGGATCCCACCGCCTGCGACGCACTACTGAGACAGAGACGGGCTGATGAAACCCCGCCCACTGCGCGCATCAGCCACTAACAGCGCAGGTCACTCCCTCGCGTCACCTGATTACACTCCACCCACTGCGAGCGTCAGCCAATAGCAGCACGAGTCGCTCCCTCACGTCAGGTCTGAGGCTTTATATTTTAAACGCATTTTATTAGTATGTCTTTTTATTTTTAAAAGCTTAGCTTTATTAGCCTTAGTTTTTTTTTAGCTCTATCTTTAAGGCTGTACGTTTAGAACTACATGTATTTTAATGTTCAGTGCCAGTGAAAAAATATATACATTTAATTAGATTTTTTTTTTTTTTTTAAATACAAACTAAAGGCCAATCAGTTTCTTGGTTTTTGGTTATAAAGTAAAACCTAAAAATAACCATTAGAGAACGTTCTGTATAGGTTCTCTTTAGGTTGTCGCAAAAAAATATTCCAGCACCGTTCTAGCAAAGATAGTTTTTGGTTCTATAATGATATTTTATTGAAAAATAAATAAAGAAAAGAAAAGAAAGAAAGAACCAATTAGGAACCATATGTTAATGTTAGGGGAATGTTTTGTTTGCTGGGACGTTTTACAGTAATCAATAGTACACCACAGATGCCGGTCACAGAGCTGGACTTGTTTTGAACCTGGAACATTCCTTCAAAGAGAAAATCACTATTTCAGACATTACATCAGTTCCTTAATCACAACCTCTTATGACATCATGTGAAAACAATCAGATCCAGCAGCATGATCTTTCATTAAAGGGACAGCTCACCCAAGAAACCTGTAAACGTTTCTTCCTCCTGTTGAGCACAAAACAAGTCATTTTGAAGACTGTTGGAAATCAAACAGCTGACGGCAGCCATTGACTTCAATGACATTTTTTCAAGTCAATGGCAACCGTCAGCTGTTTGGTTACCAACATTCTTTAGAATATCTTAAGAAACTCGTACGTTTGGAACAAGTAGAGGGTTCAAAATTTCCAGCATTTTTTTTTTCTTGGTTGTATGAACGTTATATATAAGGGAATGTTGCATTTTAGTATTTTGCAAACTTGATAGTTACTTTTGAATGTTCTCTGAAACATCTGAAATTAACATTCATGTTTAAATAAGTTAGACAAACTAAAATGTTTCAGAAAAATGTTCCATGAATGACGTATAAATGTTTTTGTGCTAACATTTTAAATGAACGTTCTACTAAAATTACTGGAAGAATGTTTGGAGGAACATTCTCTGTTAGTTGGGTCCATAAAGATCTAAAAGTGAAACCATTCCAAATCTCTTCATTTTCAGAACATTTCTTTTATTTACTGAACTGATTATGGCAATCCAAAGAGTGAAGTTATACTTTTACAGTAGAGCTTATGAAAGAATCGACGCAAAACCTGTGCTTTGAATACATGACCAAACATGCGAATAGAGAAAATGTTGATTCTTTAAAACATTTAACTGGCCACTAAAATTGTGCAATCGCACATATCAGTACAAACAGTGTCAGTAGTTACAAAAATAAAATAATTGATGAACAGAATCGAGTGCAAACAGGCAGAATTGTACATCTAGCATAGGTCAGAAATGTTATTCTAAAACAACTCAAGATTTTCAATAAGACTAAAGATGGCTACACGAATAAAAACAATTCCAGAGACTTGGAGTGCAGATGCTGCGCGAGATTCTTGATGCGACAGAGACGAACGTGCTGCACATCTCCAGCGCCGTACACTCGATATATGTGATATCGCTCCTTCTCCTTCAGTGCCAAATCCAGCTCGTTCGCAGACATGTGGATGAAGTGTCGATCTCGCCTGACCGTCGTCTTCACCTCCACGAAGACTTCTTGCGTGCTCCCGTTATTTGCGAAGGTCAGCTTGAAGTCGCATGCACGGCCGCTCTCTCCTTTCTCGTTGAACCAGGTGATTTGACTGGGGCCGCCGTTCTCTCTCCAGTGCGTGAGGAAGGAGTGAACCAGCTGCTCTCCCCACTGTCCGATGCTGGCCGTGTCTTCTTTGTCTTTAGGCAGCACCAGGGTTTGAGGCATGGTGCAATCCAGCAGCAGATCCTCCAGCACGTCCTCCAGAACCACGGCTTTGCTCCAGACGGCGCTGTCCAGAGTCATGGGCGGACGCTGCAGGCCTTCAGCTCCCTGGAACTGGCTCAACACCACCTCTGGGGCCTGGGCTGGATTTTGGCTTCTGGAAAGAAGTGAAATCATTTCAAAATCTATTGAAATTTGGTCGGTCAAGCAATTTATATTTTTAACCTAATTATTGCATGATGTTGATTAATTAATTGCACATCAATTTTGGCTAAGGAAATTGAAAATTCCCCCCAATCGGTCATTTAAAGTCATTATTGTGTTAAATGAGATAAGCGTTGAACGTAGCTTTAGAAAGAAAAATTTTAATTCAGCATTGCATAAATAATGACAATGTTTTTTTGTTTGAAATTAAATATTAAACTATGATTTTTTTTTTTTTTTTTTAATTTGAAAAATTGAAATTTAATTGACACTGTCTTAATGGGTGAGTCATTGAATCATTCACTCAACCAATTCATTCAGAAACAAAGTGATGTCTCTCTGAATGAGTCACTGAATCATTCGCTCGCTATGTTTGTTCAAACCAAGGACTCATTCAGTAACGAATGATTAGAACTATTTTTGTTGACAAAATTGAAACAGACAATATTGAGCTGAAAATGTAACCCAATATTTATAGAACTGTTGTATAAATCAACATCATATTTGCACTGGTGCAGATATTGAGGAAACACTGCACTCTCGCTGATGTGATATTGTTAAACTATATCATATGATATAAATATAACAGGGTCATTTTTTGCACTCGTATCTTGAAATTTAGACTCATATAACTGCATTCTAATAGGCTTCATCACACAGTCCATTGTCCTGCATCGTGTTCGTCAGCAACTGCATCAATGTAAGATGATGGACAGGTGTTGCATTAAATGTCTAAACACGTTTTTTTTCCATAATTAATCACGCCACACTGAGGAGTCAAAACAACAGCTCTATTTGAAATGCAATAAACAAACCCAATAGTAATCACACATACTGCGGTGTTGAGTGTTCATCATCTGCTGTTGGAGGTGGTGGGTTTGTTTTGTCCACTGTAGTTTCTTCTTCTTCATCTGTAGCGGCGTTTGGTTTCACAGGCTGCCGAGGACTGACCACAGACTGGACATCTTCCCTCCGCTCTGAGCAAACATGTTTAAAAACAGAGATCAGTCAAACCCCTTTTACATTAACTATTTTCTTCATGTCCCTGTGAGATTAATACTTCATTCACGTTCACGATTCTCTGATGTCAGTTAACAGTCACAACATGCAAGTAAACAGTAAAGTATTTAATTTTAGTAAATGTTTTATTATTAAGTTACAATACTAATATTTATGTCTTAATTCTTCACTTTCAAACATTAAACCATCAAGCTTTTATTTTGGCAGTAAACTGCAGGGAGACCTGTTTAGTGGAAAAGTTTCTAAGCGCTTCTTGCTGCAAGCGTTTGTCCACAAAATGCTGAAAATTAAGTTAACATGAAAAAGTGATCCTGGTGGTGCTGCATTCCTTCAAATTCACTGCATGCAGAGATGGAGTTCCTGTGAAGTAGCTCACTGCACTGATCAGTTTTATTTCCATTAAATGTGCAGCCCACGCACTTTTATTAGCTTTTTACTAGCAATTCCCACATGAACCCTCATTTGGGAAACTATTAATTAAATTAAACCATGATGGGGATATTTTTTGGATATTAAAAAAAAAATCTCTACCTTCAAGAATCAAGAGAGCAAAATGCCAGGCCAATAGAGCTGAGCAATACTGAATATTCACTATTTTTATACGTATATACATATATGCAATGAGTATTTTAATTTTAATATCGCTTTTCAGAGCTGTCAATTTCAATCAGTCATTTCAAAACTCATTTGATTGATCACTTAGAATATGGCATGTTTTATATAATTAAAAAGTAAAGATTTATAATTATTACTATATACATTGATATAGATGCATATAAAAGTAATTAAATATCTAGTTAAAAATACTGAAGATTTTTTATGCGTTTTAGTTGCAAATGTATTAAATCTAATTGGCAAACATTTTTGAGGAGAAAAACAAAACAAAAAACATTTTAAAGCCACTTTAAAACCAATACATACATTTCAACACACACACATATATATATATATATATATATATATATATTTTTTTTAGTGGCCATTCCTGACCTGTGGCTCGTGGCGGGACGCTGCTTGGTCTGGGACCCTGTTCAT